CCTTTTTCTGTACAGCTGCCTTTTCATTTTCTTTCTCTGAATAGACCCATAATGTTCAGGGAAAATATCAAGAATAATAAATCCAAATCTTTGTATAAAATACACCTTCATGACACACTCAAGCTGGAAATCACAGGAACCAATAAAAATGCAGGCAGCCTCCTGATAATGAGGTCAGAAATACAAATAAATTTACTTTTAATGAAGACTGGAGGCACAGTAATCAAAGTGTTAAAATTCATTTCATGCATATCTCATTTGCTTCTTAGCTGATATTTACCACGCAATTCTGTGAGAAAGTAGAGGCCTAAGATGCTCCAGATAAATGGCTCAATTAATTGTACAGAGGTAGACCTCTTTGAGCTGAGCCAGAGCTGTGAGCTCTTTATTAAAAGCACTATTCTGTAGCCCATAACCTTGTTCCTTGACTCCTCTCTGGTTTCCAATTTAAACAAGTCCCCATGCGGCCTGCTCTAAAGGGCTTTGTCTCCCTGTCATTGTTAAGAGAGCTGAGGCATCCTGGAAGTGTGAAATCAGACCTCATGAGTTGAACGGTTCCCCAGGGAACGCCGGACTGCGCAGAAGGTCAAAGTCATGGGCCGGACCATCTAAAAGTGTCTGATCGCCGGTCTGTGACACAGCAAGTTGGGGGTGGGGGTGGGGGGGGGGCGGGAGCTAGACTGAAGAGGACTGAAATTGAACACATCTTAATTAAAGCCCACAGACAGCAAAACAAAATGTTTTCTAGGCAGCCTGTCAAATGGGGCTTAAATTTAGCTCTGCTAATGAATCTGAGCTGCTAACTGTTATTTCTTAAGATAATAAGACTCTCACGGAAGCTGATAAAAAAACTGTAGCATGTCTTTTTCTGCTGTTTTGTTACTTAAATATTTTCCAACAATGAAGACAGTTTTCCAAAAGAAAAACATGGGAAAAGTCTATGCAAATAAAGGGGTAGTAAACATCTCTCTTAATAACTAGTAGGTTTCCAGACTACGGGGCTGGCAAGTCGCAAGTCTTTATGCATAGCCTTGTTTTAGAAAAAGATACGCTCATTTAAAGGGACTATTTCAGTGACACATTCTGTTAATTGTAAAATTCTCTCTCTCTCTCTCTCTCTCTCTCTCTCTCTCTCTCTCTCTCCCCCTGTCTCTCCCCCCACCCTTTTTCTCTCCCTCTCCCTCTATTGTTTCCTGAAGGAGACGGTGCATTAATTTGAGAGATCAATTCACCTGGTGTGGAGAAGTTTTATATTAGTGTACCTTTTAGTACAGTGAAAAGGTAGGACATCTTTTGAAGGGTTTCACAGTTCTCCCATATCGCTGTTTCTGAAACTGAGTGGCTGGTCTCCCTGGGGAAGCTACAACCTCTTCCTTAGGAGCTCAGAAAAAAAAAAAAAAAAAAAAAAAAAAAAAAAAAAAACAGAGAAAGAGAGCGAGAACCCAGGGGAAAATGAAATGAAGGGGAGGGGCGGAGGAGAACTCTTTTCTCCTTCTCCTCTTAGAACTTGAAAGAACCAATAGGCCAGGTCTAAATACTCTGCAAAGAAAGCCTCACTCAATATAGGAGACTTGGAATGTTCTGTTGAGGCAGAAATTAGGCCCTGCTCAAGGAAAAGAATAATCAGAAGCTAAAAAAGACAAATGATAACACAAACTATTTCCTACCACCCAAAGAAAAAATATTTCCTCACCGACCCCGCCCTCCCACACCCCACCCCACTGGCCTTTCTTCACAATTTGTAGAATTTTAAGGAAAACTTGATCTAGCTGCAGAGAGATCTTCCCCAGTGAACGCAGGGCCAGTCTCTAGGTCTTGCTTTGATGGTGCGGAGAGACGTTAACCTTTTCACTGGTTAGTTGAAAGGTAAGTAAGTTGTACTGAGAAGTATTTTTCAGTGACTCAAACTTTTTCCCTTATGAAGAATTTAGCTGACCAACTTTTCAAACCACAGTGCCACTTTCTCAGGCTGTGAAAAGATGCCCACAATTTGACTGAAATCTCAATCCACTCTTGTGCCTTGCTCAATGCATGTGTATGTGTGGGAGTTGTAAATGGAGGCCTTAACCACCAGAGTTAATCTCTTTTTTAAATCTGTATTAACCTTAATGATTTGAAGTGCACTGTCCAACACTGGGCTATTGAGACCAAAGAAAAAACTACCCTCGACCATCAACAGTTTATTAGGGGCTTAACTGAAGTGACCTACTGTAGTAGTGTTCAGCTGAACAAGGCTATAGGCTTTTTGTGGAAAGGGAAAGAATTGAGGGTTTCATTAAAAAGTAATTTGTGCTTTATACTCACTCATTCAAAGAGAGTCTCAATTGCTCTTTATTCACACAGAGTTAATACAGTATCACAATGTTTCTCAATGAATGTGTTGTAACAAAAGAAAAATTTTACATTTTGAAAGGGAAAAATTCTTTGTAACCGTAGTAAGATTGATGGCTACTTAAAACACTATAGACTCTTTCTTTCCTGTGCTCATGTCTAATGATGGAATATTATAATTTAACATATTTTGCTGAAACAATGAGAGTTTAGCTTTATGTTCAGATCATTAAAAATATCTAAAAAATAGAGCTAAGTTGGTCAAATATAAATTTGTCTCGTTAGACTTATTTAGAAAAAGAGTTCTGAAACCAACCGTGTATTTTTATAAGTAACAGGCTCATTTGTACCATGTCAGAAAATGTTCTTGCCTTAGCACAGACAGTTACCAGTGATTTAAAATCTCCCCTCTACATCAACAAAATTCCTAAATGGATGCTAACTTGAGGATTTGAAGACAGCACTAGTCAATTGCCTCTTTTCAAACTATTGCCTAATAACTTGTAGAGCCTGACTGTTATTATCCACCGAGACGCACATCATATCTTTAAAGTTCTTTGAACAAGTAAGAGAGAAAGCAGACAAAAAACTTTCTTGTGTCCCAAATTTAATGACAAAGACAAGGAAGCATCAGGATACACACATATATATATGTGTGTGTGTGTATTTATATATATGTGTGTATATATAAAGTATCCTTTTCAAAAGTAAAAATAATTTCTAAAATTGGTAGTATATTCAGACATTTCTGACTTAAATATATAGTCTTCAATTTTTGCTACTATCACAAATGTCGTAAAGACCACAGAAGGTCCAAGAGTGAGCAAGGTCAAAGACTGAATTATCTTTTTGCCCCTGAATAGTTCAACATCTCTCTTGTTCAATTCAGAGCACATTAGATTATAAGGTCAGCATGAAATGGGGAATCATTAGATTTATATCTCTAAAAATGGAGGAAAAATTGGAGACTCTGTTATTTAGTATTCCCCAAATTAATGTTCATTTTATCAAATGAAAATTATGTCTCATTGAATCCCCAGGGGAAAGGCTATTGTTATTCACATCAATTTACATAGAACCATTAGGAGAGAAATATCTCTATTTTTTTCCAGCTTTGAGAGAACATGTATTTTAACTTCCATAGTGGCATACAGGCCAACTGGGTTAATCTAGTTTGCATATTCATGAAGTCTGAAAATCAATGACAGCTTCTCTCCAAGAGAAGACAAACTTATACAATTCTATCCAATTGTATAATGGACAGGTATATAAGCTTTTGAAGTAAATGGTACATGCATTTTTCTAAAAGAAATAATTGTGCCAGATTAATTTGATTATAATCATACTAGAAAGAAATTTCATAAATAGGAAAATGTATACATTTTACATTAATTGTTTTTACAAGGAGCCAAATTAGCATATATGCAAATATTACAAACAACATACTCTCCCATTTTCAGGTATGCCTGTTTTGAAAAAATATGTGACAACTGTTATCATCTTCTTGATTACAAATGAGTTGATAATTACCTTTTTAAAGGAACTGCAAACTAATATTTTAAATTTTCTCACACATGGTCACTTAATAGGCAAATATTAAAATACAAAAATATTGCAGTTTTGGAACAAACATCTGCTATTTTCATTTGAAGACATGTTATCTTTTATTTGTTTTTGATTCTGTTGAATGAATTAAAGAAGTGCACAGTGATTTCAGATCCTTGGATGGTAGAAAAAGTACATTTCTTCCTGTGAAATAAGTTTGTTACCTCATTAGGATGATGTGGCTGAATGTTCACAATGGTAAGCATATTTCCAGAATGATAAATTGATATTTTCTTCAGAAACAGTGACATTTGCACAAATTGGTCAAGCCAGTCCTATTTATTGTCTAACTCGAGATGGATAATTTAAGGAACAGTATAAACATCCCCCAAATCCTTACGAAATTAAATCATAAATGAATGGTCACATTGTTATAAATTCAAAATAATGATTTAATTCTGGAAATTGATGAAATAATTGCCATCAGCCCGCTTGTTAATATGTTACAGAAATAGCATTATGCAAATCAGGAAGCTTTAAGAGACAAAACTAATGTGGACATTTGTATAGCCTTGTTTCCTACTTTAAGACATTTCAAACAATCTAGAGGCTTAGTTTAGATCCAAAATTATCTCTGGGATGTGCCAGGGAATTTGGACGACTAATGAGTTGGATCAGCAACCCAAATATCAAGAGTTCATACCAAATGATTGAGTATTATGCATCTAAACTTTTCAGTGAAATATCCAACAGATTTCATGCATGTTTGAATTATAAGTGTTGATGCTATGAGGGAAGCTGATTCTGTATAGCATTGGTTCAATACCTGGAAATAACAATACCTGGAAGAAGTATTGCTACTACATTGATTAAACTTTGAAGAAGGCAACAATTCAAAAATCATTTTGCTTTTTAGTGTTTATTTTTAATACGTTACCCTGCCTTTAAAAAGCAGAGTTACTATAAAAATAAGGGGGTTTGCAAATATTTCTAAGATCAACCCTGAATCTTTAAATTATTTACTTTGATGATCCATCAGGTGAAATGCAAAGTTGAATTATTAAATGGTGTAGACCTCGTGTGCTGCTTGATCTGAGCAATAGCAGAATTGCATCATCTCTTACCAGTGACGTCAGCAGCCATTAACCCTTCCGCTCTGATGACTTTCACCTGGAGAAATCCCACATCTTTCAGGTTGTGAAATATCCTCAATGGGCTCTGAAAGACCCCAACATCAGTATTAGAAAAGGAAGGTCCCAAGGAGTCTTAAAGAGTGTGCTGAGAAAACATTACATTTTTTAGTTTATCTTCAGACTTTGGGGGTAAGAAGATCAACATTAAACTAATTAATTATTTTTTTTTACTATTTTCCTCTTGGTGAGTTTTGGAAATTGCATGCACTAGCTGAGGATTAAATTACCTAGAGACTGTTTTCTAGTATTTATTTCAAAAGACTTATGCAATTCTACATAAGAACTTAAGTAGTTCTACATAAGTAAAATACATACATAATCTTTTAAAATAAATCAAGTTGATGACTAAAAATAAATTCAGGCTGGAAGCGGTGGCTCATGCCTGTAATTCCAGCACTTTGGCAAGCTGAGGCTGATGGATCACAAAGTGAGGAGTTCAAGACCAGCTTGGCCAAGATGGTGAAACCCCATCTCTACTAAAAATACAAAAAAAAATTAGCCAGGCATGGTGGAGGGCACCTGTAATCTCAGCTACTCGGGAGGCTGAGGCAGAGAATTGCTTGAACCCAGGAGGCAGAGGTTGCAGTCAGCCAAGATCACACCATTGCACTCCAGCCTGGACGACAGGGCAAAACTCCAACTCAAAAAAATAAACTAAATTCAAAATAGTGAGTAATTTTTCTTAAATTTATAGTTTTGCCATTTTAGTATGTATAGAATGGAAACTTTGATGCTGCATAAGGGGTTCAAGGTGTCATTTGTGTTTCTTCAGTATAAATTACCCTTCCACCATCATGAATCTACACCACACACACACACATACACACACACACCCAGATGTGGATAATTGTTACTATATAACTAGATTTTCTGAAAGAATAAAAAAAAACAACATTTACTCCCATAAATAATTATCAATAAATGGTGAACAATAAATTATGGAATAGATATGTCTGTTTCCTTTTTTCAATCTCCTCTAGCAAGCAAACCACTCCAAGAAATATTTTAGTCTATAGATATAATGGTTTGGAGATTAGTGGGGTTTAAAAAATTCTTTTATTTTTATTTTTTTAGAGACAGCGTCTAACTCAGGTTGGAGTGCAGTAGCATGATAATAGCTCACTGTGACTTCCAAATCCTGGGCTCAAGCATTCCTTCCACCTCAGCCTCCTGAGTGGCTGGAACTACTGGCATATTTGGTTATTTTTGGTGCAACCATGCTTGGTTAATTTGTTTTTAAAAAAATTTTTAATTCTATAGAAAAAGTCTTGCTATGTTACCCAGGATAGTCTCCGATTCCTGGCCTCAAGTGATCTTCCAGCCTTGACTCCCAAAGTGTTGGGATTACAGGCATGAACCAACACTCTCAGCCTAATTATCAATATTAAATCTCACGTTGTTGGATATGTAACACTCTTCAGTCTTTGGGGGTAAGAAGGTCAACATTAAGTTAATTATTTTTTTCTATTATTTTCCTCTTGGTGAGTTTTGGAAATTGCATGGGCTAGATGAGGATTAAATTACCTAAAGACTGTTTTCTAGTATTTCTTTCCAAAGACTACTGTAGTTCTACATAAGTGACAGACACAATCTTCTATAGTCAATCAAAGTGATGACTAAAAATAAATTTAAAAATAAATTGATGACTAAAAATTAAAATTTTTCTTAACTTTATAGTTTTATTTGCTATTTTAGTATGTACAGGAGTATGGAAACTTCAATAGAAAAAATGGATCCAAATGATAAAATCTATTTTACTTCATAAATTAATAACGGTGGTGTTTTATAAGTGTAGCACTTGAAGGAATTAAAAGAGGGAAACCAATACAATAATTCAGAAGTCTAATTAATGGGCACAAATACTTTGAGAGTAAAATGAACCAACAGAATGCTAATATGCATTTGTTTATGCTTCGTAGCATTTTTCTTATGACGCGATCAGCACTTCTACTCAGTAAATCAAAGGTACTTCTTTTTCATAATCTATAAAATGTTTTATAATCAGAGAACATAACATACTTTTGCATAATAAAGTTAGCTATTAAAATGTTACTAGAGTAAAAAGCACTCCCATCACCATATTAATAATGTGAGAATACTGACAAGCAAAAGCTTACTGTGATAGGAACTTTATCAGTCCCATATGACCAGACATTGTTTACACTGAAACTATGACCTTGGTATACTGAGAGGAGGAAATGTGGATATATGAGTAATCTCACAGCCTAACTTTTTATAAGAGTGTTTAGCATGAGGATTAACTGTTAATCTTTTATTGTTTTTAAACAGTTATCACCAAAAATCTATTTAAAATACCCAGGTGACAAGGTTCAGTAAAAATGCACTTCTCTCGCCATTTAAATTCCTGTAACTGAAGGGTTTCACCGTGGGGGCATTAGACAGCAGGGTATAATTCAGAGGTTTGTAGGCATGTTGTGTTCCTACAGTAATAGCAAGTTTGGAAAGTTTCTTATCTCAGAGCTTACACAATGTTGTAAATCAGATAAGTCTCTGACCCTAATGATGGGGAACAGTTTTATCAAAAAAAAAAGGTTTCTGTACTTTAATTTTCAGAGGCAATTTAAATCAAGTTCTATTTTCACTAAAACAAATATAATCAGTCCTTATGTCTGAGAATCATTTCACATTGGTAGCCTAATTCCACAGACATATTGTCTTCAGGTGCTTCGGCTCTGATCCTCTGCTTCCCATTTGGAGTGGTAATTATTATTTGAAGGTTTCATTTCCCCAAGTCAGCTGATACTCCATAATATATTGCAAATTTCAACGGTTAAGGCCAGTGACACATCGATTATAATAAGAAGTAATAAATAAATACATTGGTTTAAAAATGTAACTTCATCAAGAGGTATTCCTGCCTTGCTATTTATGGTTATTTTAGAAGGCCTAAAAACCCGGATGGCTTCTGAAGCCAGAAATTTCCATAGCAGAGGAATCTATGATTTGCTGTGAATCCTTTCAGCCCTCAATAGATGGGAAAAGATTGAAATGCTCTGGAGAGGAGTCCTCTTTATTTTTTTAATGAAAGGCTGTATAATATATTTTCTCTATGACTGCAGCAGCTGTCAGGGAGAGCGTCTCAGTTCAGCTCTATTACGGGAGAGGCAATACCCCATCCTATGGCATCGAGATGCTCTGAGGGGCCAGAGCTGATTGACAGCTTGTCACTGTGACGTCTTATTCCATCTCTGTTATGGAGAAAATTAATGTCACACCACCAGCCTTATGACTCGCTGTCATCTTAGAACCGCTCACCTTTTATCAATGCTCTAAATAACATTTCAAGCCCATCGTCTTACGGTGGACAATCCGGTCAAGGGACATTAAATCAGATGACTGTGAAATGTCATAATAAAAATGGAATGCTAACAACTTCTTCTCTAAACTAGCTCCTCTGGTTTTTAAACTGTGACAAGGGGGAGCAAGGGTTCAGCATACCCGTTCTGAAAAGGTCATACAATTGCTCTTGGTCTACTACCCATTACTACCCGCCCCCTATTGACCTTCCCTCATTTCCTCCCCCTAAAAGAGGGGGAAAAAAATGGAATTAGCCATCTTCTCAGAATGTGGTGATCAAAAAATGGCTCAAAGAGTGATGTTTGTTTACTCTGTGGGGCTTCAATCCTCAGCAATGAACAGCTAAACAGCAGCAATGGAGGGCTTTGTTTAGGGCTGCTTCATATCAGAGTGGGGGCAATTCATCTGCTCCCCTGACAGTGACCAGTGTCAAACTCCCAAGTTTGACCTCAACTTTTAAAAATACACATGTTCTTGCAGGAAAATATAGAAATAATTCTCCAAACAACCTCCATTATATGTTTCTCCAAAACAAATGATATTTCAGATGTGATATGCCATTCATTCATTCATTTCATGATCCTTGTAATAAAAAGGAAACACACTGAAGCCTAATCCATAGGTCTTTGTCCTTTCATGGCTATGAGCAAATATAACAGATGTGCTATGTTGCACATAGTGGCTTAGTAGCAGGTATGTCTCTAGAGGGAGGTATAGGTCTCTGCCTGAAATTCAAGGCTGAAAAAAAAGTATGTTTAAACATGGTTCGTTTTTTAATATATTGAGCAGAATACAATGTGAGAATTAAGTCAAACATCTGCATAATATTTTACATTTTATTGAAAAAAGACATGGAAACAAATACTCAAATTCTGAATGGAAATGGCCAGTTGCCATTCAGTCATCCAGTAAAAAGAAAAAAAAAATTAATAATAGGTGGATTACTTCTAATTACCTAGGCAGCAATATCCCTTAATATATGGGATAATATCAAAATATTAATCCATCAACTATAGTATTATAATGCCTAGAAGAATTTTTATATTAATATACTGATTAACTCCATTAAAATTGTTGTAATTCATGAGGCTCACTTCTGGTAACAGAAGAATATGTTTTGGTGGATACCACAATGTAAAATAATCTTCATAATTGCAATTATATATTAGAAGATGTCACACAATATCTTAGGCTCTTAGGTAGTTTAAAAATATATACTATTTAGCCTTGCTAAGTCACCTCTATTAAACTGTTTATGATAACACCACTGGTGGATGAGTTGTACAAGCATTAGCAGACAGCTGATTCAGTGGAGATAGCCAGAATAAATTTGCTGAAGCGCACATCCTGCTAATCTGTTTGAAGAATATTGTAGAGCATTAGTACCAGCACTTCATGTTATCTGCACAGCCTGATAAGGTACATCTTTATTAAATTCAGTTATTGAAAGGATGTCAGTCAGCAAATAGGAATATTTTAAAGTCCAAAAAAAAGTGGTTCTTTGTTAGTCGGAGCTTGGTTTCATGGCTGAGTGTCTAGAGGAGCCTTCTAAACACCTGGCGGCACCGTACAATACAAGCTTTGTCATTTTAAGTGGAAAAGCTTTTTTCCCAGCTTCATGGGTACTAAGGCATTTACTTTTTCAAACCTCCATTGAGAGAGAATGGTGGAGTAAGAGCTCCCCTCTCTGTTGATTCAAGAAAACTACATGGTGGGAAATGTCCAGAGGGAGGATGCTGGGAAATAGTAAGATTTGGTTGTGAATATTTCAGTTTGGTAAAATTTGAGGAGGGTAGTCATTTTAGTGATTCACTATTCCATACTATCGTTCCACATTCGATCAAAAAGAAGGAGGCTTCCTTTAATTCGATTTCACATTCAATTAAAAAAATTAAAGGAATGAAGTGAGGCTTTCCTGAGCAGCTGAAAATAAAAATCATTCCTGTGAATACTCTTTAGTTACCAAGGTACTAATTAACGTAAGTACCATTAACTCCATCTCAAACTTGGAAAGACAAAGAAATTTTAATTGCGGCTACAAAGAATCAATAAATTAATTTTAAAGTCATGTTGTGTAAACCTGGCCTTCCTTTATGGGCAGCATCCCTGCATGATAAAATCATTGAGTAGAATCTCAGAATCCAGAATTTGCTCTGGAAGAGATTCTAGAGAAGATCAAGTCTCTAGACATGGGTGGGTAATGCAAGTGCTTCTGCAAAGGTCTGGGTGGCATTTGTTTTCACTCTGCTTTTTACTTGTGCCAATTCTTCCATCAGACAGCTTCTCAGAAGTACTTCTGTCCCTCCTGGTAAATTGTTTACAACCTCTTCTAGTCACATGTGACTCTAGAAGGAGGAGGGTTACATACGTACATATCTCTTTAATATCTCCTCTCGTTCCTTCTGGTCCTCCAGGGAGTTGACGGAGAGGTCAGAGATGCTGACTGTGGCTGATGCTGTCAGAGTGACCAGCAGCACCAGGTGTCCCTCACCCTCTTCCAGCTGCAACTCCAGCTTGTGCGTCTGTTCCCTACTGAGGGCTGACAGGTCGACCTGGCACCTAGAGACAAATGTTTTGAATCAGCAAGTGGCCTTTTTTTGTTTTGCCATATCAAACAGCTGTTCAGAGCTCTATGAAAAATAAATCAATAGAAATATTATTTGGACCACTGGAAGAAAACATCTTTCAAGTCAGCTGACTTTCTTAACAAAATTCAGACCCTGATTATCATAGGGTCTGTAATTGTTTATTTCCTGTAAGATACAACAACTATGCTAATCTGAAATTCTATTATTACTCACTGTCACGGTATTCGTAAAGTGGTAAGGACTTCCTATGTCTAGGTGGCCTAAGGAATTAGGTCACTGGGGCTTTGCTTATAGAAAAATGATGTGAGTTATCTAGAGAGACCAACTACCAAAATTCTGCATTTTTGTGTTACTTTTAAAAATGGATGTTTCCCCCTCATTCATAAATGTTATTAAGCGGTGAATAGAATATGTACCATTGTGATGCCATACGTTTTACATTTTGTAAAACCATGCCAATATATTCACAGTACACTGTATAAACCTAAATAAAAACACATAAATCTCCTTAAAACATAATAGCTCGAGTGTTATGCACCTGAGTTGTGCTAAGAGGGACTTTCTAATGTGGCAGTGCATGCTCTGTATGCCACTCTCTCAGAGCTAATACCTAGAAAACGCTTTTCATAAAAATGTCAATTGATTTTGAAGAGAAAGGTAATGTGGTGACCACAAGGCTAATAAACTGAGAGAAAGGTGGCAGGCATGAGTAAAAGGCATTTAAAACAGGAAATAGCCAATTATAAGAATAAATGTGTTAACCTATCATAAACTGTGTGGTCAGAGACAGATTAAACTCTTGCTGTTTCTTATTCCTCACTCTATTTGGCATTTATGGTTTTGTTTTTAAACTAAACTCCTATGGACAGTGTTTTAAAGCTTATAGTTGAGTTCAAACATCTCTTTAGCAAGAGTGATCGCAGATATTGAACTGAAGTCCAATATTTCAATAGGCCTTTTATTTTTGCCTATTGCTTAATATGAGGGATGTCTGGGACTAGACACAAATGGGAGGAAGAGGAATATTGATGTAAGAAAGGAAAACAATAAGCAATGCCCTGGTCAGTGGCAGAAAGTCCGTGTGTACTAAATGCTAACTATTGAGAAATTGAGAGATTAGAGTCTGTACCAGTCTGGAAACATCTTCCTGAAGTTAGAATGTATGTCAAATAACTGCACTGTTTCTGCTATCACAATACCCATTCCAAGGTACTCTTGTGCTGTCTCCTCAAACTCTGAAGGGTGAAAAAACATATCACATCCCTTATCTCATATTTTAATTTTAATTGGAATTAAGTTCCTATCAGTAACACTTGGAACAAATTGAGGTTAAAAATTTTTACAGTGGAAAACAACTATTCAAACACATTCTCTAATTAAAAAAAGGTATTATCTTTAGAGATCTTTCCAGCACCTGACACACTGCTGGGCCCAGAGTTTGTAACTCTGACTTGGATAGAGAGTATAATACTAGAGAATTGATGAGAGACTATAATTCAGGCAATATTTTTGGTTGGATACAGTTGGAACCAAGAAAAGTCTTTTGCTTACTTTGTTGTTTCTTTTTTTTTCCACTCACTTTGATCATGCATTTCCTGGTCCCTTCCTTTTTTATATGATGCTGCAGCACTCTTAAAACACTAAAACACATTGATGTCTTCTGAAGGATTTTCTTCTATGCCCACCACCACTTTGTACTGATCATATAGATGTTGGTTTCTCTTAATTTATATTAGTCATTGCATTTAATGCTTTACAGGTGGGGAATCTGCTCTCGAGATTATATAAGTTAGGCTTTGCAAACTGGCAGTTTTCAGACGGAATCTGATCCGTAGATTTGTTGTTTTGCTTGTGCTAAAAAAGTTTGGAATATAAATATTTTTAAATACAAGGTAAATGTCCTCTGAATTAGTTACTGTTCCCCATACTGGCCTATTTCACTTAATTATTCTACCTTGCTCCAGTAGGCAGAAGGATTCGTGATTCTTTTTTTTTTTTTTTTTTTTTTTTTTGAGACAGAGTCTGGCTCTGTCGCCCAGCCTGGACTGCAGTGGCCGGATCTCAGCTCACTGCAAGCTCCGCCTCCCGGGTTCCCGCCATTCTCCTGCCTCAGCCTCCCGAGTAGCTGGGACTACAGGCGCCGCCACCTCGCCCGGCTAGTTTTTTGCATTTTTTTTTAGTAGAGACGGGGTTTCACCGTGTTAGCCAGGATGATCTGGATCTCCTGACCTCGTGATTCGTCCGTCTCGGCCTCCCAAAGTGCTGGGATTACAGGTTTGAGCCACCGCGCCCGGCCAGATTCTTGATTCTTGCCGTCTCCTTAACTTACTAATGAGAAAATTGAGGCCAGGGAGGGTACATGACGGAGGTGAGACATATGGTTAGTTATTAGCGGAGTCCACTTGAACCTAGGACTCTGGAATCCAAGATCTAGGCTTTTCTCCACCACTCTAAGTAATCATGCATCCCAGGAAGAAGCACTGTTAACAGTGCTTCTCAAACTGGGTAATATCTGGGCTTTTTTATTTTTATTTTTATTTTTTCGAGACCAGGTCTTACTCTGTTGCCTAGGTTGGAGTGCAGTGGTGCGATCATGATCATGGCCCACTGCAGCATTGACCTCCCGAGCTCGGGTGATTCTTCCCACCTCAGCCTCCAGGTAGCTGGGACTACAAGTGTGTGCCACCAGGCCTGGCTGATTTTTTTTTTTTTTTTTTTTTTTTGTAGAGATGGGGTTTTGTCATGTTGCCCAGGCTGCTCTTGAACTCCTGGGCTCAAGCAGTCCACCCGGTTCAGCATTCTAAAGTGCTGAACGAGCCACCACACCCAGCCCTGGACTTTTTGAGACAGAGTCTTATACTGTCGCCCAGGCTGGAGTGCAGTGGCATGATCTCAATTCACTGTAACCTCTGTCTCCTGGGTTCAAGCGATTCTCATGTCTCAGCCTCCCAAATAACTGGAATTACAGATGCCCACCGCGACGCTTACCGGCTTTTTTTTTTTTTTTTTTTTTTTTTGTATTTTTAGTAGAGCTAGGGTTTCACCATGTTGACCAGGTTAGTGTCAAACTGCTGACCTCAAATGATCCACCCACCTTGGCCTCCCAAAGTGCTGGGATTACAGGCATGAGCCACCACACCCAGCTGACTTTTTTCCCTCAAACTTTTATTTTAGGTTTTGGTGGGCACATGTACAGGTTTGTAACATAGGTAAACTCTCCTGTCACGGGGTCTTGTTGTACAGATTATTTTGTCACCCAGGTACTAAGCCTAGTACTCAATAGTTACTTTTTCTGATCTTCTCCCTCCTCCCAAACTCTGCCCTCAAGGAGACCCCAGTGTCTGTATTTCCCCTCTTTGTGCCTGGACTTATTTTTAACAGAAAGAATTATCTCAGTTTCCGAGTATGAAAATACGTTATTTTTATGCTTTAAAAATATATATAAACCAGAGAAGAAGGCTATAAATTATTGTTCTTGTATGATGATTAAGAAAAATTTATAAATTGAATTTTGAAACTATGAAACTAATAAATTTAAATTAACAATATAAATTTATAGAGACTATTATGCTTTTCTATAACAACTAAAATTTCAGTATTGGGTGTACTCATAGAAATAGTTTATCTCAGGTCCTGTGCTATATTCAGTGTTTCAGAATTTTGACTTTAATAATTCCAATGTAGAGAATGTCCGTTTTCATAAATATATCAGACAAGAGAGTATTTAATGACTTTAAGGTTCTTTGTGCTAGTTAAGGTTATTTGGATCTCTTATTTATCTAAATGTTCTACTCGAGAGTAAGATGCCATTTTAAATGAAGTGTCACCTAGAAAAGCAAAGTTTGTTAGCTTGAGGATAAACTTAAAGCTTCACTGATGGGTATCAAATCAAATTGTTGCTGGAATTGGGTGGGGAAAAAGCATTCTCTACTCCCACATAACTTTGGAACAAATATGTTCAAGGATGGAACTCTTACAACATAGTCTAGTGCAATGTGAATACAGTACTAATTGCTATGGGGTAGATTCTTCTGTATTTGGCTTACCAGTACTGTTATGTCCTGAACAAAGGGAGGTTTCACTACGGTTTGAATATAGAAGTAATAAGTGACCATCCAGATGGTTCAGGATAGGCATACAGTAATGGTTTTATAATGTTATCAAGATAAAAACGCAAAATCTAAAAAGCATCAAAACAAATTTATGAACTCCAAACATATGTTCACAGATATGTACACAGAGAAAAGATCTCGGGTTTGGGAGTTAGAGTCCCTTGGTTCTAGACCTCAGTCTTACATTAATTAGTCATGTGACCTCTTTCAAGATAACTTATCCTCTTGAATTTCAGTTTTCTCATGTGCAGATGAACTTTAAATTCTCAAACCCTCAAATTCCACAATTTGTTGTAACTCTATGTTTACATTTGCTGCATCTTCCTTTCTTTGCAATTCCACAAATCAAAAAGCTAAGAAAACAAAATTATCTTATAGGCAGTGAAATATTATTCCTCAGATGTATTGCTAAAAAAACTTCTGAATGTTGGTGTAAGAAGGTATCTCATCTCATCTCATCTAATTTCAGACTGTATTGCAAAGAGCAGTAGGGTGTGCCTCAGAGGCCACTATGGGTGGCAGTGTGGGAAAAAGGGGTGTAGACTATCCTCTTCGGTTCACAGAGCACCTCCCCTGACATCTGTTTTATATTGAGGGTTGGTATCTGTGGTTTGAAAACTTACCTGACACAGCTTATATAGCTCCCTAGGCTCTCCTGGAGCCATGGTCTCCTGAGTCCTCAGCTGTTTGCTTTGCCTCAGCTGCTCCTATGGCTGTGCCTCCCCAAGGGGATGCTCTTCATCCCAAACCCATGCTTGGGTCCTCATGGGTCTCCCACCTAGGGCTGGCTGATCTTTCACTATCCCAAATGAGCTAGGCACTCCCCTTTTCTGCCAAGGTGCATTCAGGCCTAGCTGCC